TATAGCTCCCATACAACTGATTGTTCAGATATGAGATTTTTCGTTATAATTCATCCATTTATTTAGCTAGGACCATGAAATTTCGCGCTGTTTTCACTCATTATCAGCAGAAGACTTACAGCGAAAATAACAAAAAGCGGGTCACTATAACCTGCAGCCCCCATACAACTGATTGTTCAGATATGAGGTCTTTTATCATAACTCCTCCATTTATCCAGCTAGGAACATGAAATTTCGCACCATTTTCACTAATTATTAACAGAATACTTACACTGAAAATAACAAGGATCGGGTGACTACAACATATATCTTCCATACATCTGATTGTTCAGATATGGGATTTTACTGTAAAACTCCTTTATTTGAACAGCTAAAACCGATAAATTTCGTAAGATATTTTATAAATAATAATACAAAGTCTACTGAGAAAATCGTCAAAATCTATGCTGTATAAGCTTCATCTCTTATACCACTGATTGTTCCTATACCAGTTTTTGCGATATATCTCCTTTATGTAGGAAACTAAACCCAGTAAATTGTGTTACCGGTAATTGGATTTAAAAAAAAGTATAGTCTGTTGCTGCTTTCTAGTTTTTCTCTCAGCGTAGCTATTGTTAATGGTCTGCTTATATTTTTCATGACCAACCTCAAACAAAACTAATAACAGCCTTGATTTCTTGAATAATCTCTCTTGTACATACTACATATAATAAGTATGTACATCATACATATACATATGCATACAAACTTACTTATAAGCACATATTTGCATATAATCTCTGAATGTATAGACATACATGTATGTATGTATGTATGTATGTATGTATGTATAGTATATAGATATAGTGCATATCAGCTATGACTCCATTTTCACTTTCGATTTCATTAAATCTAGGAAGTATCATACACGCATGTGAACAGGCAATCATCATCCAATAGCAGGGCCCTAAAAAACCCTGACCAAGTCATTATGACATGCCGGTGCTTCCATTTCCATAGTGTGATCTCAGCATTTAGCGCCATTGGCAGTAACTACACACACACTTACAAATGAAAGCGTCGCGGAACTGATTAAATTTGCGCTTTTTTTTTACCCAAAACGCACGTTTCGGGTGCTCTGTTTCGCTTTTAATGAATGTTTGTATGTATGTACACGTACACACTGAAGCAACAGTCGTCATCGGTAGTTGAGATAAATACATACATACATATATGTATGCATATTTCATACAATATTCACATACATATGTACTTACATATGGTTTTATGTACATATGTAACGGGTGATTTTTTTGAGGTTAGGATTTTCATGCATTAGTATTTGACAGATCACGTGGGATTTCAGACATGGTGTCAAAGAGAAAGATGCTCAGTATGCTTTGACATTTCATCATGAATAGACTTACTAACGAGCAACGCTTGCAAATCATTGAATTTTATTACCAAAATCAGTGTTCGGTTCG